AACCCCTAAAATAAAGGCAGGAGATGGAGTAAAACTTTCAGTCCTCGGATGATATTGGCACCATTAGCGCTTGGGGGAGGAGAAGGGCCTCGTGAGAAAGGAAAATGGGAATAGAGTTTTCATATGGAATTTGGTGTTATGGTTCTCAATGCCATGGGGCCAGTGGTGCCCCTGAAAGCTATTGGCAATCAGCTGATTTCTCCTGCTGGGTTTTGAAATATCTAATTTCTTTAATCAGCAAAAGGGGGTGTGAGGTTAATCTGCTGGATATTAAAAAAAATACCCCTGGGAGATAAAGGGGTGCAGTGATGATATGACCCTAATTTTCTATTTTGAGGGGGGAGGGGGAGACACCAGGTTTCTGAAGTGAAGTAGATTTTACAGCAAGCTTGAGCTGCTTGGCGTTTCACTTGTACCTGAGCAATAGAACTTCAAAGTGCAACGTTGGGATGAAAGAATTGTGCCCTGTTTTAGGATTCCGCTTCCATGTGTGCAGTAGCTGCATATTCCACTGAAGCAAGGGGTAGATCAAAATGCCCACAAACAAATATATAATCTGAAGACACGTGGGCGCTGCAGAGGAGAGGGGGCTACCTTGCTGTTTGGGCTATTTTGTTGGGCTCTAAACTTTTACTGCTGATGTGAGGAAGTTATGTAATGCAGCCCGTCCAATCACACCTGGTTCATGTCAGATTATAAAGTCAGAGAACTCCTGCTATGAAAACTATTTGCTTGGAGACCTGTTAACCTCTCAGCCTCGGGAACCCTGTTTCCACCAGATCTCTAGAAGCCTGTGCAGTGTAGACATATAAGTAGTCAAACACATGCGTGTGAATGTGTGTGGGCGTGTAAGATGGTATTATATATACATAGCTACACACCTTATTCCCCAACATATGTGATGGATAGGAAATGAATTCTTTTACCAGGTGGCTCCAATTGGCAGATATTGAATCCCTGTTTGGTATAGCATTTTATTTATTTAATGGACGTGATGACTAAAGAAGGATCATCGATTGTTAAATATGTAGTTATGTCGTATTTAACTTAAATTTAATTCTGATGGTGAGATAAGATGTGTCCGATCCTCCTCCCATTGAAATGACTGGCAAAACTCAACTTCAGGAGGGGCGGAACTGATCTGTATGTGTGTAAACTACATCTGGGCCAAGATTGTCAATGTATGCATGTGCATTTGTTGTACCATGCGTGGAAGAAATTTATAAAAAGTATCATTACACTAAAAAGCCTTGCTTGTTTAAATAATCCTCTTTCTTCTTCCTTTTAATCTGGTCTATGTTTTCCTGTCTTCCTTATTCATGATTTGTCCAGCTTTGCTGAGCTTGGATGGACACTTAGTGGTGAAGAAATTCTTTATTCCTTTTGTGACTCCCAAAGTGCATAAGATTTTGGCTACTTGTGCCTTCTCTGAGACACATCCCACCTTTACTTTTCAAATGTAAATGTTACCTGTTCCTTTCCCTCCGCTTATGAGACGAGACTGAAACGTTATTATATAATAACTAGGTTTTCTCTGTGTGCGAAAAGTCTCTCCTCACAGACTTGGAGTAAACAAAAAGTTGTGGCTTTCAAAATACTCCTTGCCTTTAATGCTACGAAGTAAATTCATAATACTCTATTCTTTTAGGGCCCTCTAAGTATAGAAGACCACAATGTGATAACAATCTCTGAAATAAAATGTTAATATCGTAAATTTCCCTCGGGCAACTAAGCCTCACAGTAGATTTACTGAGAGGACACCGTTTAATAAATGTGTTTCACTAAGATTCATGATAAGGGAATAAAACTGTGTCTATTATGTATCCTTATTTTTTAAAAAAAATCTGTATTGAAATCTAAAGGGCTGGGGCTCGATGGGAGAGAAAATAAGCAGGAACCACTGTATCTAAGGAGGAATAACAGCATCAATAGTCAGTAAAGAAATAAATAACCAACCGTCAGCCGGCATTATTGGAGAATTGCTGGGTGAGCTGTACATCCCAGCTCTTTAGGGAGAGTAATTAGACGATTTTAAAAAGAAATTACATTTTCTCATATACAGCTCCAGGGAGAGTGCGTGCGAGAGGATAAGAGAACCCCAGAGAGCTGAATTTAGATTGGAGACTTTTGGTTGTTGGTTTTTTTTTTTTTTTTTTTGGGTCCTCTCCACTATGTGCAGGATAGCACGCTGTTCCTTAGCCTCCCTCCCAGCCCAGCCTATATCCTAGCACATAAAAGGAGGGGTGTGGTGCGTGTGTGGGATTTACCTTTTCGGTAAATAATCCTGTGGCAAGGATAGAAGCGATGAAATCGCTGTCATGACCTGGGGGATCAATAACATGCGCTCCTGGCTCATATTGGCAGATGTGAGGGTGACCATTTCTGTTTTGCGAAGTCAGATGCTTGCTTTTGGGGGGATAGGGGGGATGGGTGCGTTTCAAACCACGAACCAGTGCAGTGAGCTTCCCCCAGGCTTGCTTTCTGTTCTCTGCCTGGAGTCGATATTGTTTGGACTTTAGGCGACAGTTGGTTTTCTTCCGTGCAGAAGAGGATTTAAGTTTATGATCCAGTACTTTCAAACTGTAGCTATTAAGCACTTCAGAGGGCGCTATCCAACATTGATTTCAATCCAGAAGCAGTTTAGGACTTTTTTAAGTCACGCTCGGCCTGTCTAGCACAGAGATCAGCGTTCCAAGGAGGGCAAGAGGAACAAGCAACTTGACCAGCCAGTTTTCATGCCCACACCTGAAGTGATCCTTTCGTGCAGAGTGAAAGACTATATCACAGGGCCACAGATACCCGCCGAGCCCAACTTGAATGGGAAACCAAAGAGGCACGTTGTCAAAAATACAGCTCAGCCCCTGATCATTTCCAGTCCCGGCCCTGGGGGACACAGACCCAACTGCTTGCCTCAAAAGAATGGAAGGTTCTTTCGCCCTGCCATGCCCTCTGAAGCCTAGAGCGGTAGACAGAAGGGGTAGGGGGCGGAATGGCCATGGCCAATACAAAGCGTGTTTCCGCTTTACAATATGCACCATCCATACCTTTCAATTGGCCCTGATTGTCAGGGATGCATGGCCTTGAATCCGCCTCAAGATATTACAGCAGCCGAGCTGCTTCCCTCTCTGGATCCTGACAGCCCAGAAGCGAAAACATGATCACTTTCAAAGTTGCCAGAATTACCCCGTTCTGAAACTTCTGTCCAGCTGCTAGTGTGGTTGTGTTTTAAGGCGTCTCCTTTGGAGGTTGCGTTATTTTTTTTCTAACACTGGGGTGACATCTCCGTCTGAACCCCTTGAACAGGGGCACTTTGCGCCCATAAGTCAGTGGGGGAGGATAGAAATACCAACAGGCCTGTTGTGTTAAAAAGCCACATCAGTTCACACTGCCTCCCCCTTAAGACGGGCTGCAAGATTCGAACTAAATAAATAGACTCGTTATGAGTATGAAGTTTCTATTCAGAGTTCGACCATTGTTTTCTGCGAACACCTAGGGCTCTCCAGGTATATTTTATGCACGCGGTGGGCTTAATAAAAGTTGCGTGGTTGGTTTTACAAACTGGATCTCACACATTGAGCTGAGGCATTTTTGTTACACTGTGGTTCCAGACCCTGTGTGGTAAACGCACATGCACTCGAGAAAAAGCCAGTAATTATTATAGTTACATATTGAACCAAAACTTAAAATATGAACGCTATACTTATCCTCAGTAACCTATGATTACATTTATTGTCTATAATTTCCTATCCTTCCTGTGTACTCATGCCTGCCCCCAGAGTTTTGCCAAATTCAAACCGTTGCATTGTGAAGACAAGACAAAAGAGGGGGGGGAGAAATAACCCAAGGAACCAGAAAGGTGAGGAGGCATTTAGTCCAACTGATGCACTGAGAGGAAGGGCTGGGTCAATGTTTAATACACACACTCACAAATCAGTATATGAAAGGGAGAACAAGCCCGGAGAAGTCTTTTTGAAAAAAAATCACAATGAAGAAACCAAATAAAATGTGCAAACCCAGGACAAAAAAATGCAAACAGTGCGGCGTGCTCTCTAAGCCACCGCCCAAAAGCTCCTGATGTGCTTGGCGATTTCATGGCACAATCACCGGGACACACAATTACCACTGACTTCACACATTAAAAAGTGGCCACAAAGCAACCAGCCAAATTAAAACTGACTTCTCCTCTTAATATGAGGGTCTGTTGAGAACAGAATTTACCCATCTGGTCATACTGTTAATTCAATGGCCGTCTTATGGCTTCCCTCCCGCCCCCATGAAATAATTTCCGGGTTTGGTTTTTTTTTTAAGTCCCTTAAGTGACTGAATTTACTTTAAAATTGAAATGGCTGAGATAAAGGCTGAGGACAGAGTGAAAGTACCATTCATTAGGAGATGCTGCTAAGCAACCGACTGCAAAGTAATGATCGTTTTCACTCTAGTTCTCTTCTTCTAGCCTCTGTATCCTGCCCTGGAAAAAGAAAAAAAAAACCTCCTCTGTGGAAATTCAATATGGGACGAGACTGATCTCAAGGAGCTGTCAAACAAATTCCTTTTCAACACGTTCTGGAGTCCTAAACATCCAGAAGGCTGCATGACATTTTCCTGAAGGTGTAGCTGATGTGTTATGATGAGGTGGGGTTTATGTCCTGTAAAAAAGCAAAAGGGAAAAAAAGAAAAGGGGGGGAAAAGCAGATGACGACGACGACTGAGGCATGATTTAGATATTCAAAAAGGAGGGTTTTTTTAAGACAGTAGCTCCGATTTCTAAAGGATTGAATTTGGAACTAAAAATGGATTAGCACTTTCTGTAAGGGTGTTTAGCCCATCGCTGTCCTAATCAATTAAAAAAACCCTAAATAATCAAGCTGTGAATATATATGTACATATATATACACACAAAGTAAATAAGAACAACCAGCCTGTATCCTGAACACAGTCTACACTTTATTTCAGACTACAGATTTCTGAACATAATAAAATCTTTGGCTTGTAGCGGCGGGTTCAGGCTCGCAGTCAGTGGATCCAATTCTTCGGGGGGGGAGAGGGGAGACGGAAATTCACACGAAAAATAAAAGAAAAATTCGAGAGTCAGACATTTACTTAAAAACAAGAGGCAACGACGTCAGAAAAAGAAAACAAACAAAAAATAAACAAACAAAAGAGACAGAGAGGAAGAGAAACTGTCCAGCAAATGGAGATCGCTACACATATTTCTTACCTGAAATTAAATATATACAAGGTCATATGATGTTTGGCTATATAGAGATAATTTTTGTAAGTGTTCGGGTTTTTTTTTTTTTAATTGGAGTCCTTATACTATGGATAGACAATAGATTTGATTTTAAATAGCACCTGTCCAAAGTCCCCTTCAGTATGTCACTTTCCACTGTTAAGTCCTTTTTATTTTATTTTCCTTTCCTGGCAATAATAATAATAATAATTAATAATAATCAATGCGGGCTGGGGGGGGGGTGCTGATTATTCGCTCTCCTCTTTGTCCTGCACCGTGGTCGTGGAATGGTTGTACAGTCCCTGGGCCATGAGATGAAGAGCCAGGCCGTTCTTGATGCCCGTGGCTTTCTTGATTTTGGCCCGCTTGTTCTGGAACCAGATCTTGATCTGGGATTCGTTCAGACTGAGTTCCTGGGCCAGGGTCTGCCGCCTCTGCTCCGTGATGTAGCGGTTGGCCTGGAACTCCGCCTTGAGTCTCTGCAGCTGCTCGGCAGTGAAGGCTGTTCTAGGCCGCTTGTCCTCCTTCTCGTTCTTCTTCTTCTTCAGTTTCCGGGTCCGCGGACCTAAGGACAGAGACCGACAGAAACATGGGGAGTGGGCGGGGGGCGAGGGGGAGGAGAAGGAGAGAAGGGGGGGGAGCTGTTTGAAATTCATCCTCGGATGTCAAATGTGCGATCCCTCCGTTCCTCACCCCTGGGGAAAGCGTCCTCCTCACTGAGCACAGCCCCCCTCTTCCCCAGCATTTGCTTTACTCCCAGACCCCCCTCTGCCCTGTCCTTGATTGGGATCAGTTTGCAATAAAAATGGCCGACTTATTCATTTCTTCCCCCCCCCCAAAAAAAGGGCAGACAAAAGCAGGCCATCAAATTGCTTTCTATAGTGGGCGATTAGGGGTTTCTTTGGGGGAAGGGTGTTTCTTCCCCGCCACCTACCCACAGTGTAATTCAGTTTTATGTTCAGAAGAAAGGATAAATTGGGGGGGGGGACATGGCAAGTTAAAAACAGCAGTGGCACTAGGGTTTTCGCAGTTAATTCGCATTATAGAGGGACCCTACGCGCAAAATTCGCCGAGTTGTGCCCCTAGATAAACATATTAAGGGCATAATGAGCTTCGGCACTAATTTAAAAGGACCAAATAATCTGCCCCAAATAATAACTAATAGGGGGTGATCTAATGTATCATCACTAGTCTATTTGTGAGACACTTTATTTGTGTTACTCCAAATCTAGTCTCTGTGGCGTAGGTAAGAAAATCTGTTTTGTTTGGGCAAAACTGGATAAATCAAAACATGTATCGTCGTAGATCGTGACATTACAAATCTTTGTATTTGTCCCCCCCACACCCCCCCACACACACACCCCGCTTCAAAGGTCTGAAACAAACGCGGGGATGAAAATATAAAACCCACTGATGTGCCCCAACAAACTCCATTCCACTCGTAGGATTTTTTTAAAGCAAAAGTATCATGACAGGCCAGACAGCGAAAAAACAAACTGTCTGCAGATTCTATGTTTTAGTTTAAAATTCCGGATCCGAGAGCTACAGTAAACCCCCGCGAATATTTAGACCGCAAATTTAATGTTGTGCAAAACGGTGTGAATGAATCAGAGAGATCCCCTGGCGTTCTGCAAACCTGACGGGAGGCGCAGAAGACATCACCTTTCCTTTTTCGGTCAAGTCTGAACGCCTGATCCTGCGAAAATACCCCATTTGGCCCCATGTGACTGTCCTCTACTAATCTGTTACAAAAGGAAACGAATTCTATCTCGTGTGTCCCATCGCGCTTCTTTTTGGGGTGGCTATTGGGGAGGGTTGTACCCGAGCGCGCCCCATTTGCAAAGAGGGCACAGTCAAGACGAAGAGACGCCGTTGCACAAAAGATAGACACACACACACACACTCTCTGCGCCACGCCACCTCAGGGGGGGTTCCGTTAACCCAAGGAGTTGGAACAGCAAACTGCAGTTCATTTGCGGAGCGCGCACCTCCACACCCCTCTGATAAATACATTCAAACTACTAACTGAAGCCGGAAGGATGGCTCCACCACCCTAGGGTGCTTTGGGCTAGCTGGAAGAAAAGTGCCGCTATAATCTAAACTGTCCCCGCGTTCCTGGAAAATCCACCACCCCCTTGCCCAGTTTGGTTGAACACGAATTTTAGACAAGCCCTGTCGAGAAATGCAAATACTTCCCCTGCCGCCTACTGTGTTCGTGTAAACTAATACTAAAAACGATCACAATAAAGAATCGCCACCGTTAATGAACAATAATATGCTCATTCTTGATCGCTACTGTTTTCAGGGCACCGTGCATATTATTGCAGAGTAAATGGTATTTATTCTATCACTCGTCCGAGTGACTTTTCAAATCCATTGGCTTTATAGATGTTAATTGAACTGAAAATCTCTCTCCTTTCCCTTTCCCTCTATTTCTAAAGAGGAGAAGTGGGGATATTATAATGAATACGGGAAAACGCACATTTGTATCCGTGTGGAATGCGTTTTAAATGGATTGCAGACAGTGTATATTTCAGTTCTGCCTCTCTTGGCATGACACTTGGATCATCCGAATGAGTTACTTCTCCTGTTTATAGTCTCATTGGAAACCCTCCCCTTATTAATGGTCAGATCAGGCTTTTCAGGCCTTTCTTTAAAGGTATAAATGCAAACCTCTGAACTTTAAACACAAATAGTATGTGTGGGCGTAAAAATAAAAGGCTCCGGAATAAGGCAAGGTAAATGCTTAGAGCTGACATGTAGTCATCTAGAAACAGAATGATAAAGGGTAAATCCAAGAGGATTGAAAGCATAAGGCTGGGTTTGTAGGCTGTTGCATTTTGACTTCTAAACAAACCCTGTGAAAGGGGTTTTTTTTAGGGAGGAATTTAAAACAATTTCTGAAAACCTCACGGTTTTGATCCAAAGCAGGTCAACAGCTGGGGAGTCCAAATTTTAGGAAGACAGTCCCCCCAGTCCCAGATACCTACGGGAGGAAGACAGCAGGCTTCCTAGCTGAGAGTAGGCCTAAAGCTCATCTCAGGGCTGGTTGGTTTGTCTCAGAGATCTCAAGGCAAGTTTAGGGAACATGGGGGGGAATAGATTTTAATATATATGAATCCCTGCTTTATCCAGTTTACTAAAGGGGGGGGTGGATTTAATAAATCACATTATCTCCTGGTTGTGCCAGACCCTGCAGAGGCTGCTTTGCAAAAATTGCACCGATCTGAACTCAGTTCCTTTCCCCTTGGAAACTGAAATTTGCCATTGTAATAAAACAGCAATTCTGAATGGGGTGGGGGGGGCGAGGATATATACACTTAGCCCTAGATACAGTTTAGATACACTCAGCCCCTGGTCTAGCCAGACCTACACCACATACCAGTCAGGAGAACACAGGGCCAGACCCAAACACAACAAAGGGAACGGTGCACATTCCCAGAGGAGCTTTCTGGGACTGGGTGCCAGAGAGGAGATTTTGCAAAAGGAAAGTGTAAAATACTTTGCATGTGGCGGCATTGGGAAACGGTAATAAAATCATTGCCCTGCCCGGGGCCGAGAGCTAGGAAGGCAAGAGCCTGACAGCTCAATCACTCAATCAATCCGTTTAGTCAATCAAACTGGCTTTTCTGAGTTTCAAGTAGCTGGACGTGTCAATAACAGTGGGATCTAGATGACTCGGGCTGATAGCAGCAAATTGATCACTTTCCGTGGAAGGAGCTAATAAAGGGAAGCGCGAGTTACGGCTAGCCACCAGCCGGGCACTTGGGCTAACTCGCCCCTCCTTTGCCTTCCCGGCCCTGGCCCTTGCTCCCGCCAAAGTGGGTTGATTCTCATTCTGATTTATTATTAAGCTTACTCTCCCCGACCTCCGCCGGTTTGGGCGAGGGTTTGCGGACAGAGACGCTGTCTCGTTGGGGAACTTCCTTCCCTGGGATTTTCCCGGAGCGGTCTGATCTACATTCCTCTCCGCTAGCCACAAGCTGGACTGGGAGGTAATTCTGGGAGACCCTTTAAAAGTGACCCGGATCACCTGATTTGTTCCATGTGAACAGAATTAAAACAAGGAAATGGAACGCTAAAAGGACTCGAATGAAAATAACAAGCAGCAGCAGAAATATCTGCAGTCCCGGAAAATCTGATCTTGTTTTTTCTTTTTCAGAATCTTTTCTTCCCATCTTTTTGGGAGGGGATGGGGGGAATAAATTCCCCCAAACAATAGCAGATATTATCCGTTAGAAAAGAAAGCTCCTTAGCCGCTAAAAACTAGAACGAACACAACCCCGCTTGTCAATATGCGACCTAGAGGCCTGGTTTTCTTTTGCTCTCAGAGAGGCCTATTTTGCTTTCCCATAACAGAAACATTTTTCCCTGAAAGCATTTCTCTCCCCCCCCCCTTCTGCCTTTCAGAACTATACCTCACCCCCAACACCCTTTCAAATATATAATACGTTCAACATGTGTCTCTGATCTCCCCCTCCCATTCCCCCCCCACTCATCAGCACACAATAAAAATAAAAAATCTACTGCCTCGCTTCACAGCTACTGTATCTGTAACCCCAGCCCAGAATCCGAATAAAAAGCCCCAGATCGCTCCTCCTGCATCAGAATTCGGGGTTTTATAAAGGCGGAGGGGGGAAGATGGGGCACGAGGGAAAGATTTCCCCATGCCCCCCCCCCCAATAATTTAACCCGAGCGCGAAGGGCTTGGCTGTGTGACCCAAACACCCCCACGCTAGGAATAGGCTCCTAAAGCAAAATCGAGCTATATTATTGATATATGTTTTTTAAAAAATAATCTAGAGACACTAAAGAAGGGAGGGGGGCTGGGGAAAGGGGAAAAAAAAAGCGACTGCGTATTATGTAATAGCTAACAGATGTGATCAGCGAAGTGGTTCTTACCCGAAGATGGTCTGTCTGAATACCTAGTGCAGTAAACCCAGGCAGGCCATACTAGAGGCTGTTGAGAATCGCTCTTTACAACAGGTCCTCCATTATTAGAGCCCATGAGCAGGATGGCGGGGTTGGCGTGTTCCCCATACTTCGCCGGGTTAGTTCCACTCCCTTCGGAGGGTGGCTTGGCTGCCGCTACCGCTGCTGCTACTGCTGCTGCCGCGGCGGGGTTCGCTTTAGAGGCAGCAGCTGCAGCAGGAGGCGCCGAGGAGGAGCTGTCGGGGTTACAGTTTGAATCCGGGCAAAGGAGAGAGGACGGGTTGGATGGCCTCGTTATCAGTGGGTTGACGTTTTCTCTACCTGATGTCTGACCGCGATCTCGGTCTCTGTCCCGGCCGCCGCCGCCTCCACCACCTCCTCCTGCTGCTGCTGCTGCTCCGCCGACGATCAGGAGCGTCTCTTTCTTGCAGCCAAAGTCCGGCCTCAAGATGTTGTCAATGAAAAAGTTGGTGGTGCGGTGCTGCTGCGGCTGCGGCTGGTGGTGGTGGGGCATGGGCAGGATGCAGGGCGCTGCAGGCGAGGAAGGCGCGTGGCTGGGGGAGACGGGGACGCTTTCTCCATCGCTGCTGCTGCTGCTGGTGGTGGTAGTTGTTGTAGCAGAGTCTCGGTGACTTTTACTGTCCGGCTGCTCTTCCATAATCAGCCCCCGCCACGGAGATCGCTGCCTTTCCCTCCCCCCCCACACACACACTTTTTATTCCCACCCCAGTGGGTGGTGGGGTGAAAAAAAAAATACAAATAAAATCCACTTGTTGGCTTGGATCTGATCTAGAGAGATGGGTTGGTGGTGGGTTTTTTTTAAAGACAGCTATATCCAAAAATACTGAGACACTGGAGCGAATTGGGTTTTGGATTTTTTTGCAATTACCTTCTA